AAAAAAACTATGATTAGAAACGTACATGATTGAGAAAATGAACTTGATACTTTTCTTTGTTGATATTCATAATCATATAGAGATGAATGAGAATTTGAATTACTGTACAATAGATAAGGATTTTGAAGACGAGGTTCAGAAATAATTCTAATCGGAAAAAGACAAGAATACTTTCATATGATAAAATTTTACTTACGGTTTAACACCCTTGTCAAGACCGTTGGCACCAACTAAAAATAGAATGAAGTTATTTCATTGAATCAGATTTATAGAATATACAAAAGATCTTTGTTTATTATTTGATCACTTGTTCGAAAGAACTTACATTTATTCATATTATTTTTTAATCGATTTTTTCTCGATCGACAATAGATAATTCCAATAATAATTATAATAACAAGAATAAGAAAACTTGTCATTACAATAATACCAATAATTATTGGTGTTAAATTTCGATTATTTATTTCTAATAAAAACGAAAGTTTATTTTTTGATAAATAGAAAAGAAATTTAAAATAAAATTGTTAGCGACGACGAGTGTCCTCGCTATTGTTTCTCTTTCTCCTCTGCAATACATCACTTTTAGAGACATTCTTTCTCCTTTTCATTCACAGTGTTTTGTGCTTGTTCATTTCATGTTCTGTTTTTCGAGAAAGAATGTTATCTTTGATACCATTCTTTCTCTTTTTCTTTTTATTATATATGTGCGTGTTTGATTCAGTGGTGGAGGCAGTCCTTCTCTCTTTGTTTTTTTGTAGTTATTTTTCTTTTGGAATACATTCATTACAGTGCAGTTTCTCTCTCCCTCTGCAGACGGGGTTTCAGTACATCTCACAGAGAGAGCTCACAAAAATTTACCTTCTTTCATTTCAATTTCTTGTCCATATATATTTTGATATTTGTTCGAACAGACTAATAATTTTAAATAAGAAGATTCTTGTTCGATTTTCCATTGTACACGATGATTTTTTATAGGTAAACATTGTTTAATCGATTGATAGATTTTTCCATCCGATGATTGACGAATTTTTAAACATAATTGGTCTTCATTTAATTTCAATAAACGAGAGCTATCAGGTAAATAATCAAATTGAAGTAAATTTTCTTTTGAATTATAAGAAACAGCATGCAATTGTAGTAAATCTAATACAAATCAAAAATAAAATCATATAAATAAATTCAAAAAACTATAAATACCATCTGATGTAAGAATTAAGAGACGTTCCATGAAAATATCAAAATTCCGAAAACATGGGGGTCAACCGATTTTGAATCTGACCTCATAGGAATTTAGGCCTTAGTGTACCATATATAAATCCAAGATATTACGGCCTAAAGATCTACCTATAGTTGGCTAGGACCGATGAACCTGACATACCCTAAAAAATACCATCAAAAAATGCAAAAAATTCAACTTTTAATTTCGCTGAATTTTTTCCTTCAAATTTTTCCACCGTTCAAATTGAGTCATATGCCAATCGATAGAGCTTGACTTGCTCTACAAAATGGTATATATGACATTTCTCCTCAACCTCGATATTGAAGACAAAAAGTCAAAAAACGTTGTTGTTTTTGCATATACGATTTCATGGTTTTTTTCAGTATTTTGATCAAATACCTAGGTCAGAAATCGATTGCCAAAAAAATTTATACACCATTTTGTAGCCCATTTAATTCTGCATCAAATCATGTATGGGACGTTGCTGAACAACGTTCAGCACTTAAGATGACCATACTCATATTTTGTCTTGTTTGGCGAAATCCGATGTCATATCGGATTCATATTTGAATTTTTTTTCTTAAATTTTTCCACTATTCAGACTGAATCATATACCAATCGATAGAGCTTGAATTGCTCTACAAAATGGTATTCATGACATTTTTCCTCAGTCTCAATATTGAAGTCGAAAACTCAAAATACTGTATTTTTTGACGTAATATAAATTTTTTTCTCAGTATTCTGATGAAATATCTGTATCAGAAGATGAATGCCAAAACAGAAATAGCATCATCTTATAGCTCGTTCAATTCTGCATTGAATAATGTATTTCACATTGTTTTGAGATATTCTACAACTGAGTCACTAAGACTCAAACATCAAGAATTGATATCATATTTAGTTATAATTCTTCACGAAAAGCATTTTTTAAAGTATATTGCCAAAATTTGTCTATATATTTCAATCAGGCATAGAATATGATATTTTAATCATTGTGTATTGACTAAAATTACTTTGTCTATAGCTTAAACAAAGTCAACAAAACTATCGCTTGAAGTCAAGAACTCTTATACTCTGTTATAATACGACGAAAAATCATGAAATATGCGGATAATTGAATCCGATAATGTAAGATACACAAAATCCTATAATTCTGTAGAAAGTCAATGTTTGTATAATTATTTTCATAACTGCCTTATGATCTCATCCCCTTGGAAATTCAAGCGAAACATAAAAATTGGCTATTGGTGTAGTTAACTGTATCAACTATGTATATAGTTCTTTTCCTACTGCCCCATTTTGGTCCTTTTTTTACAGTGATTAGAAATGTATTTTTTTTGAAAAGGCAGAATATTACATTACAAAATGCGTCTTAATTGAGTGCACCATAGCAATATCAACCATCATTATATACAATGGTGATGATCTAAAATTTTCATCGGCTACTATGCGTCGATAGATGTATGAAGGTTTATGAGTGTGGGTGTGGATGAAGACAACATTCCGACTTCCACAGTTACCCATCCACATCTACCCAC